GTTAACCCAGCACAGAACCTGCTCTGCAAGACTGACAGCAGCCAAAATCTGTGTTAGGTAGGAGGGAAGGCCACAGTTTGAGAGACTTTGGGGACTAGGCAGGTCATTGATTGATCACTCAGATTCTCCATCCCAGTGATGAGCATGCTCTCTTGCAGCTCTGTGTGTGTGTGTGTGTGTGTGGTGTTCAGCGTACACAGTTGATGAGCATGCTCTCTTGCAGCTCTGTGTGTGTGTGTGTGTGTGGTGTTCAGTGTACACAGTGATGAGCATGCTCTCTTGTGTGTGTGTGTGTGTGTGTGTGTGTGTGTGTGTGTGGTGTTCAGTGTACACAGTGATGAGCATGCTCTCTTGCAGCTCTGTGTGTGTGTGTGTGTGTGTGTGTGTGTGTGTGTGTGTGTGTGTGGTGTTCAGTGTACACAGTGATGAGCATGCTCTCTTGCAGCTGTGTGTGTGTGTGTGTGTGTGTGTGTGTGTGTGTGTGTGTGTGTGTGTGTGGTGTTCAGTGTACACAGTGATGAACATGCTCTCCTGCAGCTGTGTGTGTGTGTGTGTGTGTGTGTGTGTGTGTGTGTGGTGTTCAGTGTACACAGTGATGAGCATGCTCTCCTGCAGCTCTGTGTGTGTGTGTGTGTGTGTTGTTCAGTGTAAACACTGATGAGCATGCTCTCCTGCAGTTGTGTGTGTGTGTGTGTGTGTGTGTGTAGTGTTCAGTGTACACAGTGATGAGCATACTCTCCTGCAGCTGTGTGTGTGTGTGTGGTGTTCAGTGTAAACACTGATTAGCATGCTCTGACATACTGTTTCCATTAGCCAAGAGGCTCCCTCTAAAGCCCTGGTACAAGCCCTGGTATGTCCAGCTTTTCAGTCTTATCCCTCACCAGTGACAGGAGTCTGGAGAGCTAAGAAGCCTGCATAATAATTGATAGAAATCCCTTTCAGAGTTAGTAAAAATGTTGCATCTGCCTCCAAAGTATGGTGTGACTGACTGCATAGTGTTCTGAAATGGAGATCACAAATGAGAGCTTTTAACCATGGTCTGTCTGGTGGCCTAGACTGTCCACCTACCAGCCAAACACTGAAGGTTATGGTAGGCTCCCAGCCAGAGGCAGGGTTGTAGTTGAGGGGTGTCTTTTGCCTGGGCTTCAGAGACACAGGCCATGATGCTGGGGACCCTAGGAAAGGGAAGGAAGATATGCCTATGCCAGCAACTTTTGGGATGACCAGCTGTTAAGTCCTCATGGCTTTCCTCTTTCTGGACTTTTTTCCTGAAGCCTTTCCCCAGTGACATTTCTCTAGAAGCTGAGCAGCCACCTGCCTTAGACTCTACATGGTATTAATGTCATGGATCTACGACTTGCTGATGCACTTAAGCCTAGTCCTGTGAAAGCCACATTCATTTAATGTTGATGTAAGGAAATTATTTAGTCTGTGCTTTGACCATGGCAGTTGGCAGTGTATTCTTGTTCCTTACAGTGATGCTGTGACCAGTAAGTGTGGAGAAGCGTGCTGTGTCACCACTTGCTTGAAATGGGATCTGCTGTTTCTTTTCACAAGTCTAGCACCTTTTAAGGAATCTAGCTAATCTGGGATCTGCCATTGGCACTCCCTGACATTCCTCACTTGGACAAGGCTTACCCTGGCCATTACTCAGAGTATCTTCAGTGGACACACCCTGACTCCTTCCTCCACTGCTTTGGAATCTGCCTCTACTCCCCTCCCTGCCCCTAATTCCTCCCTTAGTGTCAGGAGCCAGAACCAACTCCCCTGCCTGTACTGGAGTGCTCTTTGCATGGAGCGTGTGGCTGGTCTGGTCCTCCAGACATGAGCCCACTGTGGTCCTAAGGGTAAATGGATGCTTACATTTCCAGTTCTCTCCTCAGAATGCTTCATTTTAAAGGGACTTGAAGCTCTAAGACTGAGTCAGTTGGTGGCAGGCTGTCTCCAAAAGCTGATTGTCCTTCCTTCTGAGCATGAGTTAATTGCTTAGACTGTGAATTGAAAGGCCTTAAGGAGTCATGATTGACTAAACATGTCAGTGACTAGATATGTCAGTTCAGTATTATAATTTATCCTGTTATGCCAGCGTTCTTTTTCCCACTTTTATTGAAAATAATTTTTTTCTTATGTCATGTATCCTGATTACAGTTTCCCATCCCATCTGGATCCACTCCTTTTCTGTCTGTCATTAGAAAACAAACAGACACCAGGCAGTGGGCCTCTTTAACCCCAGCACTCAGGAGACAGAGACAGGTGGGTCTGTGAGTCTGAGGCCAGCCTGCTTACAGAGTGAGTTCCAGTACAGCCATGGCTATGCAGTGAAATCCTATCTCCAAAATCAAAACAAAACAGGCTTCTATTATTTAATAATAAAATAAGATAAAACAAAAACTAACACATCAGAGTTGGACAAGACAAACAAACGAGGAAAAGACCCCAAGAGAAGGCACAAAAATCAGAGACTCCCTCATTTGCACACTCAGGAATCCCGAAAGAACATTAAACTGGAAGCTGTAATATGTGGACAACCTGGTGCAGACACATGCAGGCACTGTGCTTTCTGCTTTAGTCTCTGAGTTCATAGGAGCTTTGATCGGGTTGATTTCGAGGGCCTTGTTTTCTTGGTGTCCTCCATCCTTTCTGACTCTTACACTCTTTCTGCCTCCTATTCCATGGAGTTCCCTGAGCCCTGAGGGGACTGATTTAATAGAGACACCCCATTTAGCTCTGACTCTGCATGATGTCTTGTTGTGGGTTCTATTAGTCAGGGTTCTCTAGAGTAACAGAATTTATAGAATGAATGTATATATTGGAATGACTTAGAGGCTGTAGTCCAGCTAATCCGACAATGGCTGGCTCTGAACAGAAAGTCCAAAAATCCAATGGTTGCTCAGTTCACAAGACTGGATGTCTTGACTGGTCTTCATTTCAGTATATGCTAGAATCCCGAAGAAGTGGGCTCCAATGCCAGTGAAGGAATGGATGTACTAGCAAGGCAAGGGCAAGCAGGCAACAAGCAGAAGCTTCCTTCTTCTATTCCCTTATAAAGGCTTCCAGCAGAAGGTGTGACCCAGATTAAAGGTGTGTCTTCCCACCTCAAGATCCAGATCAGAGGTGTGTCTTCCCACCTCAAAGGTCCAGACTAGAAGTGGATTCACCCACTTCAAACCAAGCAAAAGCAGTCTCTCACAGATGTGCCCTCCCATTTCTGGATTGTAGTTACTCCAGATGTAGTCAAGTTGACAACCTAGAATAGCCATCTTGTAGGTCTCTATATGTGTTCCCATCTGCTGTAGGAGGAAGCTTCTCTGATGATGGCTGAGCAAGACACTGATTTGTGAGTATAGTAGAATGTCTGGTTCTTGATCCCCCAAGCAGTGTTGGGTATGGGTTCCATCTGGTGGAGTGGGCCTTCAGGCCATTCAGATGTTGGTTGGTTGCTCCCACAAGCTTTGTGCTAGCATTGCCCTAGCATATCTTATAGGCAGGACAAAATTATAGATCAGAGTGTTTGTGGCTGGCTTGATATTTATGTTTCTCTTTTGGTAGTGTGCAGAGTAGCTTCCTGTACCAAAGATGCTAGAACATGGGGGTGGAGGCTCTGTGTCGGCACCAGCTCGACTTCTTCATCTTCAGTGAGCTGTGGAGGTGCTGCCTTCAGCAATGGGGCCTTGTCCTCAGTTTGTGGAGAGCAACCTACAGTCTTGGCAACAGCCTGGATTATTTGGGGATTCTCAGGGATCCCTTTGACCAACAGCTCAATCAAATATAACCCAGTTGGTACTGGAAGCTTCGTTTGGTGACAAGAGATGGCCAGTTGGGACTCTGTCTACTCCATTTTGGGGGGATTTCATTTAGATCACCTCCGTGTACGTATATATTTTAGGAAGCTTCTACTGTATTAGGTTTCCATACCACCCCTCAGGTGGCCCTTAGTTTTAGCTGTCTCTCCTGAATTCCCTCCCTCCTCCTTCTGTTCCAGCGCCCCCCGCCCCCATGACAATCTATTCTATTTCTTTTCCTATACCCTCTAGTCTATACCTACCCTCTGTGGCTCTGTGGATTTAGACCAGCATTCTTAAGCTTCTTCTGCACAGAACCCCATTTCTGCCTTTTGGTACTATGAATTTGAATTCCCTGGTATACTTGGGGGTGGCAGTTGCCACACCTGAGTGCTAACCCGGACTGTGAGAGAAGAGGCAACTTGAGTTCTAGTGTGTCTTGGTGCAAAGCGTATGAAGCTCTTTTTATTAAAGTGTGAAGGCCGTTTGTGTAAGTGGTAAAGCCTCAGTAAAGCGGTCAGGGAAGTTGAAGTGGGTAAGGTGAGTAAAGTCGGTGGGCGTGGGGTTCTCACTCGGAGGGGTAAGGAGGCAAAGGCTCTGCTTCGTGCTCTGTCACTGCTCCAGTGCAGTGGGATTAGCTCTTAACTCCAGACTTCTGGAACACTTAAGAAGCCCGGAGCTAAACTGAGGTCTCCATTTGCCATGCTTAGAGACTGGGAGCTGCTTTCAGTTCACATGTCTCAGAAGAACTTTGGGTCCTAAATTATTTTAGTCTAGAGGGTTTTTTGGTTTGTTTTGGTTTGTTTTTTTTGTTTTTTGTTTTGTGTATGTGTGTGTGTGTGTGTGTGTGTGTGTGTGTGTGTGTGTGTGTGTGTGTGTGTGCTTTTGTTGTTGTTGCTTTTAATTCCGTTTTAAGGGCTGATGAAATGACTCAGTAGGTAAAAGCACTTGCTGCCAAGCCTGGAGACCCAAGTTTGACCCCAGAACTAAAACACTGGATGGAGACAGCCAGCTCTAGCTCTCACCTTTGCCCTCTGACCTCCACACGTGGGCTGTGGCGCAAACACAGACAAGCAATAATACATATTTTTAAAGTTGCATTTTATCTATAAGGTGAAAGAGGCAGTAATTTAAACTACTATGTGCTTTTTTTCATTTGTTGGTAAAGGAAAAAGAATTATAAGACAGTTTAATTATTTTAATTTTTTTGTAAAATAGATGTCCATCTGGATTTGGAAGAGCGCCTGGCAAAATTTATGAGGACCGAAGAAGCCATCATTTACTCGTATGGATTTTCTACCATAGCCAGTGCGATTCCTGCATACTCTAAGAGAGGGGATATTGTTTTTGTGTAAGTGCCTTCACCTATGCTTCTAATCAGATTCCTTTTGAAACAGCACTGTGCTGCCGGGCTCAGCAGGTCCTGCTTTGGAAAATACCTGCCTAAAGGAAGGAGTCTTCTGGGGTTCTATGTTTTGTTTTGTTTTTCAACTGTTTGGTTTCCCCAGCCAAGAGCTCTGAGACCCTCACCCAAAAGATGTTTGACAGTGCAGTAGTCAGTCTCCTGTACCATGACTGTTTCTGATGTCCAAAGGAGGCTTGCCATCTCCTTCCCTGTCGGCTCTGTGACCCTGGCATGCCCTGAGTCATGATCACAACCTCACATTGCTTACTGTGTCTGGCCAAGTCACATGCTCCTCATCACTCCCCCTTCTCACTCTCCAGGTCTCTGTGATCTTGCCACAGTGTTTATTAAGGATAGAGGAGCTGAGGCAGGGGCAGCGGCTCAGTGCTTAGGAGCATTGGCTGCTATTGCAGAGGATCCAGGTTGGTTCTCAGCACCCACATACCAGCTTACAACTATCTGTAACTCCAATTCCAAGGTATTGGAATTCGATACCCTCTTCTGACTTCCTTAGATACCAGGTACACGTATAATGTACATATATATGATTAGACATACACATAAAATAAATTTTAAAAATCTTTTTATAATGGGTATAGAAGCCATGAGGTGGGGATGTCCCTGACTGCCCACAGCAAGTCTACAAACTGAGGTGAATTCCCTAGATGCATGGTGTGGCTGTTTACTGTGAGGGGAAAGCCTCTGACTATGTGGATGATGTCAGCAGCTTCAAGTACATCTTTTTATTATAACAAGCTGTTTTCAAATGATTGCAACTTAAGCACCCTAAACAAAAATAAACTAGTAAGGAAGCTCTGCCCTTGCATCCATTCCTCCCATTTAAATGTTCTTTTTTCCTTTTTTTTTTTTTTTTTTTTTTTTTTTTTTTTGGTTTTTCGAGACAGGGTTTCTCTGTGTAGCTTTGCGCCTTTCCTGGTACTCGCTTTAGAGACCAGGCTGGCCTCGAACTCATAGAGATCCACCTGGCTCTGCCTCCCGAGTGCTGGGATTAAAGGCATGCGCCACCACCGCCCGGCCTTTTTTCCTTTTTTGTGTATGCTTGTGTGTGGACATATATGTGGAGGCCCAAGGTTGATGTTTGCAATTAGCCTGGGTTGTTGTTGTACTTTATTTAATGAGGCAGGCCCTCAATCAAAACCAGATCTCACTGATACAACTAATCTTGCTAGCCAGCCTGCTCTGGGACACTCTCTTTATAGGTGGCATTTACATGGGTTCTGGAAATCCAAACTCCAGTCCTCATACTTGTAAGGCCAACACTTTAACCACTGGACCATCTCTCCACTCTCCATTTACATTTTTGGGGTATCTATTTACATCTTTCTGTGTTGACTATCTCATCCTCCTAAGTAGTTATTATTTCAGGGGTTTTGTTCTGGTTTTTAAATTGTACTGAAGATATGCGTGGTTTGTCCTCATTGCTTCCAGTGTTGGCATCTCTGTCCCTATGCAGAACGACTCCAGTTAGAATTCTCTCAGGAGGTCTGGGTGGACATAGAGTCTTTCTGCTCTGGCTTGTCCCGGATCATCTACCTCACTTTCACCTTCTCTTCGCTTCTTTTCTTTTTGATTTTTCGCGACAATTTTTCTCTGTGTAGACCTGGCTTTTCTAGAACTCCCTCTGCAGACCAGGCTGACCTCAAACTCAGACCCACCTGCCTCTGCCTCTGGAGTGCTGGTATTAAAGACATGTACCATCACTACACTACCCAGCAAAAGCAAGATCAGTCCTGAAAAGAAGTTCAGTCTTTTTGTTTGTTTGTTCATTTGTTTTTTGAGAACTCACCTTCATTTCTTTTCTTTTTTTTAAAATTAATTTATTTTTATTTTATGTGTACTTGTGTTTTGCCTGCATGAGTGTCTGTGTGAGGGTTCCAGATCCCCCGGAACTGGAGTTACAGGCAGTTGTGAGTGGCCATGTGGACATTGGGAATTGAACCCCGGTCCTCTGGAAGAGCAGCCAGTGCACTTAACCACTGAGCCATCTCTCTAGCTCCTCACCTTCATTTCTAAATGATAGCTTTGTTGTATAGAGAATTCTTTATGGGAAGTTTCTGGGTTTTTAGTTTCTCCATCTAGTTGAAAACCTGCACTGTTCTGTCCTGGCTTTAAAGTTTCTGTAGCGAATTCTGCCAGAGACTAATTTGGACACCTTGAGAATCTCTCTTTCACCTCTTAAGAACCTGGTTGTGAAGTGCTTGCAGGAAGTCTTGACCACGTTGCATCTGACTGCAGATGACTGTTGGCTTTCTTGGACCTATGTATTCTAGCTGTCTCTTTGGGAAGTTTTACCCTGATGGCATTCTTGGATCCTTTTGACCCCCATTGGCTTAGATGTTTGCTTTTTAATGCTGCTCCAAAGCTCCTATGGCTATCTCCATTGCACTTGGTGTTTCCCTCCAGATAACTGTGTGTGAATAGTCTGTCCCTGAGTACCGCACTTCTCTCTTGTATTTGACCTTTCCTGATGTTGATACCTTCTGTCACGTTTTTTTATTTCACTTACTGTGGGTTTTTTAGCTCAGAGTTCTGTGTGTTTGTTTCCTCTTATCAGATTTCCATGTTAGAGTGCTGAGAAGTTTATCCATGCTTCCTCTGAGCTCCTTGGTTTTCCTTGGAATGGCTGTTCTGACTCCTCCTGTGAGTCTTTCTGTAACTCCTCCTGTGAGTCCTCCCATAACTCCTCCCATGACTCCTCCTGTGAGTTCTCCCGTAACTCCTCCTGCAAGTCCTCTTTTGGATTCTCCAATACTGATTACAGTTTCTGGCACCTTGTTTTGGTGTCGTGAGGTCAGGAGGTTTTGGTTTTGTTTTTTAAGATTTTTATTTAATTTGTGGGTGTTTTGTCGGCATGTATATATGTGCACACCATGTGTGTGCAGTGCCCACAGAGGTCAGAAGCAGACATCAAATCCCTTGGAATTGGAGTTAAGAGTGGTCACTAGGCACCATGTACTGTTAGGAATTGAACGCAGGTCCCCTGCAGAGCAGCACTGCTCTTAATGGCTAAGCCCATGCTCCTGCCCAAGGTCTCTGTTTATGGAAGACTCTTGATGGTTTGGGTGTGAAACATCATCTGGGTACTAACAAGTCATGACTGGTCTTTTCAAGCTAGCTTTGCTGGTGCCTGTCTTTCTAGAATGAGCATTGTGATCCCCAAGATCAGGTTTACCAGAAGTGGGCTGTTGTGTTGCCGCACTTTGACCACTAGAGGGTGATCCAAGCCCAAATTCATCTCAAACCCACAGGTGGTAGGTTGCTTAGGGATGAATCAGTAGTACCTAAAAAGGTTAATAAATTTTCGGAAGCCCCTGCCATAAACCCAGGTGTCTTGTCCTCGTAGTCACAGGTATATAGTCAGGCACTACAGGATTCTGTCCAACGTGGCAGAATCATTGTGGATAGAGGTACTCTACCTCCTGTGCCACACCTGTGGCCATCAGCGGTGCCAAACTATGTGATACCATAAGGCCCCAACCTGCACATCACTGGGGACGCACAAGAACACCCCTGCTCTGGACTAAAGGTGACATGGACTCATGGCCTGTGGTCAGTGCAGCTGCCATGGGTGATCCTGACTCTTACAGAGGTCTCTCACACACTTAGATAGCCTCTGTTACCAGGAGGTCTCTGTCCTCAGACCTGAAGACGGGCAGGGGGTGGGCGGAATTAGTGTCTTAGACTCTATATTAGGTTTCTCCCATTTGACACTGTGAAGTCATGCCTCTATGCTTTTCTTGTTGTACTTCCATAAACGGAGTCTTGGTCCACACTGTAATGGATGAAGGCAGTCCCTTGGCCACCTAGACAGATGCTAAGTGACTGATACCACATTGGATTGTGCATGCATTTGACAGCCTGGAGAGCCTGGAGAGACTCGGGTTTCACTGTACCCCTTGTGACTCTTCATTTGGCCTTACCTGTTTGAGTTTTGCTCACTGTCTTTAACCTTAGGTTTAAGTCATTTTTGTATTGGGGTTTTAGCCATCTTGTTCATGTCAGTTTGTAGTTCTAATGTCTTTCTCTTCTCCTAGGACTCCACTGACATAGATGTGAGATTGCTGCTTTACATCCACCCCTCCCCAGGTCCTTGGAGTTCTGCTCTCTTCTTTCAGTCTGTTTCTCTCTGACATGCATTGACTCATTTCAATATGTCTTTCTGTCCACTGATTCTTTCCCTCTGGTCCACTGTGTATCTCGTTGGCTAATCTGTTTTTCAGAATGCTTTCTCCGTATGATTCTCTCTGTGGCTTCTCTTTGCTCAGCTTTCTGCTTGAGTTCCCTGTTTCAGGTGTGTTGGTGACTGCTCATTGCAGCCTTTTTATCCTGGCCTCTTTGGGTTCACTGCTAAGTCATCTCAGTCTCTGTCATCTTAGTAGTGATACTTGATGAAGTGCTCAGTTGGAACCCAGGCATTTCCATGTTATGTGGCTCCAGTCTATACTGGCATGTCCAGCCTGCTGTCCACAGGTCACATGTACCCCAAGGTAGCTATAAATGTGGCCCAACACAAAATTCTAAACTTAAAATATTGTGAGATTTTCCCCCCTTCTGAGTTGTGTTTCTGGAGCATGGACTTTACAGTGTTGCAGTGCCATCTGTTAGGGTTGGCTTCCTCTGACACTGGGGAAATGGGAGGTAGGAGACGACTGTGTCATCCCGAATGCCAGGCGTGTTCAGTCTCAGCCCTTGCTTCAGCCTGGACCCCCAAGGACAGTTGCTTCATTGCTGCTGTGATGGTGACAGTCCTGATTTCCACTGGATTTCCTCATCCACGTGGAAGATGTGAGGGTGCCTCATTGTTACGACGTTGAGTAGAAGTTTGTGTTCCCAGGGAGGGACGCAGGGTGCCATCAAAATAACCCTTCAAAGGCCAACTGTCTTAAGTTCTTCACTCAACCGCAGCTGGTGTGGGTGAGCTTAAACCAGTTTCCTGTGCTGCTTGGCTGTAGTCACGTGCTTATTGCCCAGCAGCTGTGCCTCCAGCTGACTGCCAGTGGTTTTCCTCGTGGAGGAGTCATGGAGTGATGAGTCAGGTAAACAGAGATGCCACTGACATCAGGTCACCAGTGCTTTTCAGAGTTCTTAGAAAGAGGGCACGTGAGTAAGCTCAGATGCCCTCCACAGCATTCATCCTGATTTCAGAGAGGTCATGATGTGGCTAGCTGTGTTTCCTGGAAGAGGTAAGTGAAGTAGTCACATGAAAAGGCCTTGCAGAGTGAAGAGCAGTGAGTGTGAGTGCTCAAACACTCTGTTTGCTGTGTTTCCAGTAACAGTTGGAGGCTGGTCAACTTACAAAAGCAGGCATTCTTCTTCTGAGAACATTGACAAGGCCCTTTAACCCCCATTTGGTGCCTCTCCTCCTTGCAGGGACAGTGCGGCTTGCTTTGCTATCCAGAAAGGATTACAGGCATCACGCAGTGACATTAAGTTATTTAAGCATAATGATGTAGCTGACCTGGAGCGACTGCTAAAAGAACAAGAGATTGAAGATCAAAAGGTATGATCCTTTTGAAGAACATTATGCAGCTCTTTGTACTTCCTAAGCAGCTGAATTATAGATGAAATGGTAATTTGTCACTGAAAACGTGCCTGCGGATCACATTTGGATACTAAGTAAGGGTGTTCCTGCTTATTAAATGTATTTCAGTTTGGAGAACCTTGTCATATTTAGGGGGAGGAGGTCGAGGTGGCTTTCTCTGGGGGCTGAAGGCAGAGCAGCAGCTTGCCCTTGAGGAGACACAGTACTCTGAGTTCTGTGTAGGAGCTCCAGAGCACACGAAGGTGGTAAGGGGGTGCATGGATTAAGTTCAGAATATACTTATTTATGCCATCAAATCCTAAGCCCTCCTAAAGCTCCTGCTGCCTGTGGGGAGCAGCTACCCTAAAGAGGGAATGCCTGGGAGCCTTGAGCACCCCTAGATGTGGTGATTAGGTAGTGTTTCCCTGTCATGATTGGAAAGCAGCACTTTAGAGCAAGTGTGTTCAAAGCATCATGGGAAGGATTATGACTTACTTTCCAGGCAGTGTGGATAGGAGAGGCTGAGCTGATCTGTGGCTCTGCAGCAGGACTCCATGGTGTGTGTACTGTCTTGGAAGCCTGGTTCTCACATCTCAAGCACCCCTTTCAAGTTTGACCTTGCCCAAGCAACTCATTCATAACTAGTGTAACTGATGAAAATGCTCACTGCCTTCTGGTTTTGTGTTCATTTAGATTTTCCTAAACATTTGCGTTATCATTCAGGATGATTCTGTCATCTTTGTTTAGGAGTCAGCCTGTGTGATAGGTACTTCATGAATATGTACATTGTTGTATTGAATATGCATAAACTCTCCATTTTGTGCTAAATATACTATCAGCCAATGTTCCATATTTATACAATTAAGAAAAAGCTAAAGAAATTCTGAATTTGAGACTGTCAAATAGATTAGTTCTTTCAACAGACTAAAAAGATGGCCTTTATTGTGATTAAGTACTAGATCCCAACCACCAGAATAAATGCTGTTTTGGGAAGTGTGACTAAGGAGCCAGCCTGCTGGAGGTTTTCATGGCGTGATTTAGGAGCTGTCATACTCAGATTTCATGTGTATTTTTCATAAGATTTATAGTCTATGGAGATATTTATGGATAACAATCAGAAAGAAAACTATGTATCTTAGAAATTTAATTTCACTTTTTTACTAATTAATTTATATTTCATTTTTCTGCCAGGAGTAGGCTATTAAATAGCTTCACATTTTATTTTTCGAAAGATCTTTTTACTTGAGATGCTGTCTCTAGAAAACAAATAGAAATTGTGTCAAAGATTGGCACATCCTTACAATGTGATGTAAAAAGCAAACCAAAGGTAGCTGCTTGCTTCCAGCACTGAGAATGGTGAGGAGGCAGTATGCTGACAAGAGGCCATGTCTCCGGTACAGCCATGTTGTAAAGAGCTGGAGAGATGCCTCAGTGATTAAGAAGACCCAGATTCCTTTTCCAGCACTGTGACTCCAGTTCCAGGAGTCTCATGCCACCACCTTATCACCTCGTGTGGACACTGCACACACATGCACATGTATACAAGCAGGCAAAACATTCACATACATAAAATAAATATAAATCTTTCAAAGGAACAAAGTAAAACTGTTTTAAGTAAAACTTTGAAATGATCACAATGTAATATTTTTAAAAATCAGATTCTCAAATTACTACAGTAAAATCCTGACTTTTAGAAAAAGTGATGCATACATAAATATCTAAAAGAAAGAAAAAAGGTATCAATGCATAGAATGGCTAATCTTTAGAATTCTTCCATATATATTTTTGCTCATCCTAAGTCTCCTACATCGACTATTTTGAAATCCTAAGCAGGTACTTGAATGAGGATATGGTAGAGCGCTTAACTAGTGTGTGTGTAAAGGAAGCCCTGTAGAAAGTCCTCCAGCAAACAGGACATGTTTGAAAAGGGAGTTGTCTGGATGCTGTGTTGACATGCAGGTGGCCTCTTTCCACCGGTGACTCTGATAGGTCCATACTGCCATCTTGAAAGTGTTCAGCTGTGAGCTGCAGCATTCAGTTGTGAGTTGTGGGAGACTGGCAGTCTCTGTGATGTGTACCCTACAGAGCAGAAGTGCTTCTCTGCAGACAGCACCTGCTGGGTCCCGAAATACCCCTAGAGCATTGCTACAATTAGTGATGGAGCACAAGTAAGAAATCTTTGCGTAGGGAGGTGGGGGGTGAGTTCTAACTCGGGTTTTCCAGTCTGTCATACCTGCAGTATCTTCAGGTTCTTAGGTGTGATAGATTCCTGGCCTTCTGGACACGGAGTAGGAGATACATACTGTCTGAATACCACCTTATATTTGATCAGACAAGATCACATTTGAATTTTACCTGACTCACTGATAGGTCAGCAAGGAGCAGGGGAAACAAAGGAGTGCGTTGTGTTTTGATGGGAGAGGAAGATTAGAGCTTGCCAGCACACAGAGGGAAGTACAGTAGTGTAATTCACATGCTCGTGTGCACACACACACCCTGCCCCTTTCATACTGTTGTCGTCCACCTCCTACCACACTTGTACCATTGGTGCCTCTCCCTGCTCCTCAGGCCCTAGCCGTGTGTGGTGATAATGGTCTTTGTTGTAATTTTCTCTCCTTTTCCACTGAAATATGTAAATCCTAGCTGTGTAATTTTGACCATTTTTACCTTGTAACTCACTCTGGAGTCTGTACTTCATCACTAATAAGTTCCCTGGGCTTTCTCCCAACCGTTCTGGGGCTGGGACATTGTTTGATATTGCTAGGGCTGCTCCAGTGGTGTGTGAGGTCAGCTCACTGACGTCGTAAAGTAAAAACTGCCTGAGGAAGGGAGCTGCTGCTTCTCACTAGTGTTTCTGTCAAAATAATAGGATCTCAAGAGTTGAGTTTTAATTCATTATGGCCCTTTTTTCTTTTTAAATAAATCTTTTATGAGGCACAAGTCCTTGGGAGTAACAATTTATATTTGGAGTTATGACAGTTAAGATGTCTGGTTTTTTAAAGAATCCTCGAAAGGCTCGTGTGACTCGGCGTTTCATCGTCGTGGAAGGATTGTATATGAACACTGGAACCATCTGTCCTCTTCCAGAACTGGTGAGCAGCTCTGTTGAATCCTTATTTTATTGTGCTGATTATCTGACAATTAGACCTTTCACGTAGAATCACATTTAAAGCATGATGCCTGGGACATGATTGCGCAGCAGGTGAAGGTGCTTGCGTTTAGGCTGACCTGAGTTTGATCCCCAAGACTCACACCGTGGAATGAGAGAATTGACCCATGAGAGTTGTGCTCCAACCCCCCACTCAAGCTGTGGCATGCACACATACAGACACACACAAAAATCAATAAGAACTATATGTAAAAAAAATAATAATGAACGTATGATGAGTTATTGTCAGACTTTCCTTTTGGGCCGCCAGTGACGTGAAGGTTTGTTATTATGCAAACTTGGCCTTTAGCTTAGGCTTGCTCCCAACTAGCTCTTATAACTTAATTAACCTGCTTCTATAAATCTATGTTCTGCCAAGTGGCTTTTTACCTCTCCTCCATTTTGTATGTCTAACTTGCTCTGTGTCTCGCTGGCATCTCCTGCACACCTAGATTCATTCTGAGTTCTTCCCTCTGTCCAAAAGCCCTGCCTGTTCTTGCCTGCCTATCTGTTGGCCATTCGGTTCTTTATTAAACCCATCAGGTGCCTTAGTCAGGTGAGGCAAACATAGACACATCTTCACAAAGTATGAACAAATACCCTGCAACAGTGTGTACACCACTTTGCTTGGTGGGTATCATAAAAATACTCTTACATCAGGAAAGTCGATAACATTAATGGCCAATACTGCCTTCAAAGAGTAATCGATACTTAGCTTTTAAAAACAAAATATTTTATTTTATTTTGTTTATTTGTTTATTTATTTTGGGTTTTTCAAGACAGGGTTTCTCTGTATAGTTTTGGTGCCTGTCCTGGATCTCACTCTGTAGACCAAGCTGGCCTTGAACTCACAGAGATCCGCCTGGCTCTTCCTCCAGAGTGCTGGGATTAAAGGCATGCATCACCACCACCCAGCTTAAAAACAAATTTTATTAAAACAAAATTAACATGCAAAAATGAACTCACTTTAAGTGTACTGTTGGATAAGTTTTGATATATGTGTATGGATGTCTTGTGTATATGGATAATAGATATGTATGGACATATACTGTCACCAACACAGTCAAGGTACAGGACACTTCTGTTATTCTAGAAAGTTCTCTCATACCCATTGCCAGCGCCAGGCAATTACTGATGTATTTCCTGTTCCTATAGATTAGTTTTAACATTTGTAGAATTTTGTATCAATGAAAACAAATGATATTTACTTTATAAAACAGCCTTTAACAGGGAAAGTATTACAGTATTTTCAGAAACCACAGCCGCTGCCATTTTCCTAATCAAGGTGAAGCACCTGTGTTTTAAAGCGCACAGCACACTGTACAGTGTGTTCGTTGTGCATCAACTCCATCGAGCTCCAGCATGTAGCAGACCCCACTGTGTCAAGCAGTCACTGTCCACACCGCTCGCCCTTAGCTCCTGGCAGCCACCAGTCTTTATGTCGCCTTGGCTCTGCTGCTCCAGGCATTTCCTGTGAGGGGCATACTCTCTTCCTTCGCTGGCGGGATGCTTTCTAGACTCACCCATGTTGTACTGTGAAACATGTTCATTCCATTTACGTGCTCAGAACAAAATACAGATAAATATACATCTAATAACCTTGAAGGAAAAAGATTTTTTTATATGCCCGATGACAGAGAAGAACAAGCCATCCGTGCCACCGCGTGCCTATAATATCTGTATCCTAGCAGTTAGGGGACTCAGACAGGAGGATCACGAGTTTGAGGCCAGCCTGATCTGCATGCAAGTTCTAGGCTAGCCTATGCTACAAAGTGAGATGCCTCTTTAAAAAGTAAATTAATGAATAAAAGTCAGTGGAAAACAGACTAATGAGCCATAATAATAAACATAATAAAACTTTTTTTTAACATTCAAACAGTTCTGTGAATCCAAATTGAAATTGCTACTGAGAGAAAAGCTATACTTCCAAGGAAGTTTTATATGTAGTCAGACAAGTATTTAACAGATAAGTTGTATGTCTGTACACATAAATGTCTTAACATTTCCCTTTTTAAAACTCGGTATTTGGTGTCTGTTACTAGTGTGGGTCATTTCAGAGACTGAAAGGATGGTTGGTTCTCATTATCCACTGTACTTAACATTCTGTAAAGGTACCACACGAAATGACATAGGGAAGGATGAGCCTTTTCTACTGGGCTCCTGTGAGCGGCAGTCAGGACACAGCTGCTTTGGGTGTAACTCTGTTTAAAGACAACAATCTAATACATATTGTTGATTCATTCACACTGGACTCCTGCCCACAGCTTTATAACTCGTGCTGAGGGAAGTTTCTCCAATGTACATTTGCCCAGAAGGCATTTCTCAGCCTTTCTGCATCTGAGAATACTAGAAAGCGCATTAGCAGGGACAGTGTGAACAGCAGAATCTCTAGTAATGGCACAATGATGTGAAAATGTACACTTATTCAGAGGACAGTGACCTCTCTCCTCAGCTGGGAGCACCTGTTGGCAGGTCGTTCACTCATTTCTTCTCCACCCCACACAAATGAGCCTTCTGAAGGATGGATGAGTGGATATTGATTTTTTGTTAACAGATAAATTTGCAAATACAGAATTTATAATACTGAGGGTCAACAGTCAGCACTTTTACAAGTTTAATGTTTTTCTACAAAATACATTATGTATGCTGCTAATGGTGATGGCATTAAGTTCAGTTTTATTTAACACCTAGGTTAAGTTAAAATACAGATATAAAGCAAGACTCTTTCTGGAAGAAAGCCTTTCTTTTGGAGTCCTTGGAGAGCATGGACGAGGAGTAACCGAGCACTATGGGATCAGTGTGAGTTCTCACTGGGGAAGCTCCCCACGTTGGAAGCCTGTCAGAGGCATGAGAAAGACCCTTCAGCCAATCAGAGGCTCCCGAGGCTTTGATGTCTGGGTGGATCTGGTTAGCCCAATCCCTCTGGGATTTTTGTTGACCAGGGATGGGGATAAGGTGTTGAACTTGGCTTTTCATGTCTCTTCTAGTAGCAGTTACTTTTGTATTATATTATTAAGGTCATTAAGAATTGCCTTAGAAGCTGGGTGTCGTGGCACAGCAGCAGATGGGAAACCGAAGCCTTCATGAGCTACATAAAAGATCCCCCACACAAACAGCAACAACAGAAAGGATTCCTTTAGTTCTTTAAAAGACATTTTAAGTATTTAAATTTCCACATATACTCTGTAGAAGTGCATATGCACAATTGTACTATGTATATGTGTGTATATGTTTGTGTAGGTGGCAGTATGTGTGTACATATTTTATATGTAATTTTGACACATACGCATGCATGCTGTCAAAAACACTGCTGAGGATGGGTTCAGCAAAGCTACTAACGGCCCCAAACAGTTGGAATAAGAGTCACCAATTTCCTTTCACTAAAGGGAAATGGAGATAGAGAGACCAGGTGCCCTGGGGTGTGCTCCCGGTGCTTCAGGCTGGTGATAGCTGCCTTGCTGACCACCATGGGGTATAGTTACAGGGTGCCTTTTCTCCAAAAGAAACCATGTGGGTGATGGGTTTTTCTCTGTGTATCATCAAGTTGACGGATAAAATCCACCGTCCCCTGAGTTATCTGCACTGCAGCACTGTACTGCTGAAGAAGAGTACAGGGTAATGCTGCATGAAGTTAGCTGGACAGCTGACATCAGCAAATGGGTGTGGGTAGGGATGTAGTGAGATGTAACGATGGTATGAAAGCTTAATGAGGAGAACGAACCACCCGCAGAGGGGCTTGACGGTGACTTGCTTTCTCTTTTTCCTGGCAGATTGAGGACATCGACCTAATCAGTGCTAACATGGAGAACGCTCTAGCGTCTGTCGGGGGCTTCTGCTGCGGCAGGTCTTTCGTGGTTGACCATCAGGTGATGCTCCTTAGAAATGAAGCACAGTCACAGATGATTGTCCCCACTGTCACTGCAGAATACAGTGCAATCCAATCCAAGCTTTAACTCATAATTGACTGTACTGTTTTTATTGCAAAGCTTATTTTTAAAGGGTAGCTCAGAGTGTTTCCAGACACATAAAGCCCCCATCTCTTAAGAAGGCATCTTGGGATTGTTACATGTGTCCTCGGCTGCCCTCATGGTGCACTCAGTGTGCCTGCTGCTCAGATGCCTGTGGAGATGCGGTGCCTTCCAAATGTCTCTCTAGAGAGAATGTCTGTTTCTGTTGTTTCTCCTTAGCGGCTCTCTGGCCAAGGATACTGCTTTTCAGCTTCATTACCTCCCCTGCTAGCTGCTGCCGCCATCGAGGCCCTCAACATCATGGAGGAGAATCCAGGTATAGTCTTGTAATAGCTGGTTCTGTAAACTGTGGTGCCAGCTTGTTTTCTGGAAGAATTAGCCCACGGGAATTATTTATCAGACAAAACTCTGAATTACTTTAGAAATCATATGTCTGTAATACAAAAACCAATATCCAAACTTGTTGAGCACAGGTGTGTAAAATTCAACCAGTAATCTACGAATATGCCACAAAGTCTAAAACACCAAGATCCAAACCATGCCTCATCCTAGCATTTAAATGGGAGTGCTCACCAGTGCCTGGCATTGTGGGAAGATGGCAGTGGACTTGCCTCAGGACTGTGCATAGAACTTTAGCCCTGAGTGTGGTGCTGAGCCAGAGTAGCCGGCTGATTCTCCAGGGGGAAATGCCAGAAAGGTGGAGACCTGTGTCACCGCCAGTCCTGGGGGCTTCCCCAAGTGTAGTGGCTGTCATCATGTGGCTTATAGTGTTTGGGGAAGTGTGCTGAGGTGAGTGGATGTCGTTTTCTACCTTGTTTTCCCTTCGGCCTTTGAATCATTGATTAATTCAGTGCTAGTCTGTCATAGACAACTCAGTGGACGAGAAACATCACCTGAGAATTTAGCGAGTGGCCTCTGACTGTAGCAGTGCAGCCTTCAAACCAAAACGGGGCTGGCAATACAGCTCAGCAGTAAAGGTCCGTGCTGCACAGCCCTGGCAGCCTGGGTAAGATCCCCAGGACCCAGATAAAGGTGGTAGGAGAAAACTAACTCCATAAAATTGGCCTCTGACCTCCACGCAGGCCCAGTGGTGCCCAACCCCCAGTGCACACTAATAATGAGTAAATTTAAGAAACAGGAAAGGACAAGAGGCCTTCCCTAGCCTTCACCCCTGAATCTCCAGCAGAGATGTCAGTTCACACAGTCAGATGTGTCTCATGCACTCAGACACATCACCAGAAGGGTGTCCGGGTCTTGACTTCCAGTCACATGGTTTTTACTTTTGAGCTTTGATCTGGATAAAAGGAAAACATCCCAAAGAATTACTTTGCTACCCACTGGTTTCAAGTTCAGACTGAGTTGTAAGTGGCAAAGTAAGTAAGTAAAGTAGTAAGTCTTAGCTGGACTATGTACATCTTGATAAGGACTAGAGCCTGCATTTGGTTCAGAAGCCACCATCTCTGGTCTAGCCAGTGGGCAGCACCAGCGAGAAGGAGCCAGTTGATGATGTCAGAAGCCCAGGCCCGCAAGGTATGCATGCTGGGTGTCTTCTCTCACCGGAAGCATTCATAGCATTTCAGACTAAGGGTCTGGGCGTGTAGAGGAATTCATAAGCTGGAACCATTAAATGTCCTAGATATACCATTACATTTTTTTTTCCTGTGCAGGCATTTTTGCAGTTTTAAAGAAAAAATGCCAGCACATCCATAGATCTCTACAAGGGTAAGTATTGTGCTTTTCAGCCAGCATAACATGCATCTGCACCACACTTAGCAAACTGCAGTTCTGAGTTTTATGGGCTCTGGGCCCTTTGCCCACATTGCAACCACAAAAACAAAAATTTAGTCCATGCAGCTTTGAATACAACTGGACCAGCCATTTGCCACTGTCGTAAAGACAAGGCCTTGTTCTAGAAGTTACCCGGCCTGTAGTGGGCACTGTACTAAATAGGAAAACAAGCCGCAACTGCTCTCGGGATGACCTGGGTGCACAGGGTTCCTCATCTCCACAGAGGAAGGACAGCACTGTGTGCTGTGTACTGGACAGTCTCAAGTCCTGCTGTCCCTGCTACTTTAGGAAATTCAAATTAGTCATGATTATTCTTTTTCTAAAAAAGAAAAAAAACCTTCAGGCTGATTTTTGGTTCCACAGGAAATGATCTGGCATTGTTCTAGATCTTTCCTTTTGCTCCCTAAGGAAATGTGTGCCTCTTGAGTTGTGAAAGTTCTGTCTTCTTTGTAAGATATGAGAATGAACATTGCTGAAAGAGGGCAGATGAGGGAGCGGGGCAGCTGTTGGTAGAGCAGGCAGACTGTGGTGTTCTGTGTGTCTGCTGGATGGGGATGCCTCTCCCATGGTTTATGGGGAGGGCCACTAGTGCTGCTGTGCACTATTAATTTTCTGGCACAACACAGCACGTTGGAGGACTGCACATCCACCAGCACTGGCCTGAGGTGCCTTGTGTTCCAGCTTTCTCCAAGTCCTGTCCCACCTCCTCTGGCTCTGTCCAACCATCTTTCTGCTGTTCCTGCCTTCTGTCTCTATCCACCCACTCTAGTGGATAGCCTGGCCTCATCCTGTCACTCAGAAACTCCCTGCATACTCCTGGACAGCTGCCAGTGTTCCCTCTGTTACAAAGAGTGTGTGTGTGTGTGTGTGTGTGTGTGTGTGTGTGTGTGTGTGTGTGTCTGTCTGCCTGCCTATGTCTCTGTGTGTCTGTGTGTCTGTGTGTGTACACATGCATGCTTGTATATAGGGAGGATGACTTGCTGTTGCCCTTGACTTGCCATCCATCTTATTTTTTGAGATACAGTCTCTCCTTGGCCTTGAACTTGCCTAGTTGGCTAGGCTGGCCAGCCAGCAAACTTTAGAGATACACCTTCCTCCCAACTCCCCAGCACTGGATCCCAGCATGCACTACCACACCCAGCATTTTTTACAGAGGTTCTGGGGATTCAAACTCAGGTCCTTGTGCCCACAAGGCAAGCACTTTACCCTTCTTCTTTCTTAAGGACTGCTGTCTGCTAGGTTGTCAGTCCTTGCCCTTTCCTGGGTTTCAGGAAAGGGTTTCCACCCCATGTCTTTCTAATCCTGTCTAATCCTGTCCGTGTGACCCCCTCCCTTCTGTCAAGACTCCATTTCTTTCTGCTCTTTGTTGCTAGTCTCAAGATTTGTGCATGCTCTCTCCACATGGCCATGTTGACTTCTGCTAGAAACCGAGAGCTGATTGTTCTTTTACACTTGATCGGACTGTGGGTTACCAGTGATGACAGAGGTGCAGAATCAACAGGACCCACTTCAGAACTCATCTGACCGTGTCTCACGGTTTTCAGCTCAAGGACCACCCTATCATCTTTGCATTCTGCTGCAACGAACTTGTCAGCTTCCTTTTAAGACTTTAAATTTCATCTTAGTCTCCTTGGAAGGCTTTCTTCAATGTTCTGCTCTTTAGGGTTTAGCCCCAAATTATTTCATAATTCTGTGTGTGAACAACTCACAGATGTGTGTGTGTCTCCTCTGTGGCCTGATTCAGGGCTCCATATTCCAGGTCAAGCTATGCCCTCAGTAGCAACACTAGGAAGACCCTTGCCGGAACTCGATCCCCATTGTCAGCAGGCAGTGTGGAAGGGAACAGCAAACAAACCAGCAAGGAGGCAAGAAGGGAGGAGAACTAGTGGGTGAGGACATGGATTGAGTGAGGAGATAGCCTCCAGCTACTGGCCTTGAGTCTTAACAAAGTTGCTCTTGTGTGGTATGAGGTAATGTATTGTATGGCGAAAAGAACAGAGGCCAGGGTGTCATTTAGGAGATGCATACAGACAAAAGGTGGCTGACCAACTTCGTAATTGCAGAGAAAAATGCCTGGACTCTGGGTATAATGCAGGGAGATCCAACAGGCTCTGTCACAAGTTTGTCTGCTGGATGAGTGAGCCAGAATCATGGCTGATCTAAAGCTTTAATTCAGTCCCTCAGGACTGAATGAAGTAGCAGCTTGGGGACTGGCTAGAACCATGGAGGGAGTACTCAGTGGGAGGTTCAGTGCAAGGTATATGTCAACCTTCAGCTGCTCATCAGACATCCACTGGAGAGCAGCCTTGGATTTCCAAGTTTATGTTTGGAAGTCCGGGCCTGGAGAGGTGTTTGGAGTCCTTAGCACCTGGGAGCATTGAAAGCATTTCCAAGTGTAGCGGGTGGAACCGGCTGAGGCAGAGTGGCCAGTGAGGAAGAGCCTCCTCCTTTGTCTCTGAGGTTGGATTTGGGGAAGTCATCTTCCTGCTGTTTGCCTCCAGCAGAGCTTTAAGATCTCCACTATGTGTGGAGACAGTGTTTGCAGGGGACTCTCTTCCTGAACTACAGGATGGAGGCCCTGGCTTCCTTGTTGATGGCTCTGAGCCTAGGATCTAACCCAGGCCTTGGTATTTACTGGTCTGGGTAAAGTGATGTGTTTGCCAAGTGTATAATAGTCTGGGAGGCAAAGCGCCACAGTTTCTGAACTTCAACTACAACTCTGTCCATCTGGTCTCGACACAGACAGCATTCTGTTTCGTTCCTTCCTCCACCAGCCTGCTCTCCCCATGCACGGCACATCTGCTTAGAGCACAGTCTACCTTTTGTAGACTGAAGGAAGCCTGGGTCATTAGGGGTGCCATTGGAAAGCATAATTTTTAAGGTTCTTCATGAGGGAGCGTAACCTAAGAAATTGGCAGATCTTAGGAATGTGTTGCATAGTTTCTGCATTAGGGAAAACTAACGTAGGTCTCCCCACACTGCAGATACCCTTAGTTCTTAGGGTCTAAACGCAGACCTGTGCCTTGTTCTGTTGAGAAAACCTAATGTATTGAATTACATTCAAATAAAGAAAACACAAATAAGTAATGTTTGGGCGTGGCTTGTAAACCAAGTAAGATTAGCTGCCAGCACCTCACAGTTCCTGTTACAAGCTTTCCATCTCTGTAATAAAATGCTTGAGGCAATTAACTGATGAATTTGAAAGGTTTTTTTCTTCATGATTTGGTGGGTCTAGTCAAGGATTCTTTGGGGATTCTGAACAGAGCCAAGAAATAGAAAGAGGCAGTTAGGACCCACAGTGCCATTCAGGAGGTACACCCATGTGACCTCAGGACTTCCTACCTTCTGAAGGTGCATGACACCTGCCAGTGTGTTCCGTGGGACTGAGAAGTGGAGACATTCTTCTAGGCCATAGCAGCAGTCACCAAAAGCTTATTGAGTCCTAAGTTGGGAGCATTTTGAGTGCTGCCCAGGGCTTCATTTTATCCTGAGGGGAAACCTGGGCCTAAGAACAAGGAGCTGAGCAAAAGCAGCCAATCTGAAACAGGTAGCCCAGTTTCAAACAGGCATATATCACAGCTGTGTCCTAGGAGATGGATAGTATAGGCAAAAGTGAACCTGACTGAGTACCACTTATAGTGTTGCCCTGCATCTCATTTCAAAGGACAAGATTTTACCCTAAAGGAATCTGTCTTCTTCCCTGACATAGTAGATTTCTGTGTGTTAATCTAAGAAGAAAATCTTAATCCACATAAGATGTAAAGCAAATCACACAGATAAGGCAATCATGCCACCTAAACCTATTGTTGATAGTAAAAATATAATGTTATTACATCACATCTCTATGACATTCTGCAGCCTAGATAATAGGCAAAGTGGTGTGATAGTACATAGACCTAAAGGAAGGAAACAGGACAAGTCATAGAAATGGTGGTACATGTCCTGCTGTAAGAGGCTCCAGGGAGGTCCCTCCAGAAAGGCAAAGGGATCAGGACCTCAGTATGGACAGCTTCCTTGGGCAGAAGAGAGCAGTGTGTATCTAGTGAAGAGACGGGAGGCTGAGGGGCTGTGAGAAGGGTGAGCATGTAGGGCAAGCAGCAGCAATGCCCAGACTCCCATGGGAGACAGAAAAGAAAAGGCTACAGTGTTCCGTGAACAGGAGCCTTCCTCCCAGGCCTGTGCCCGTAGAAACAGCTTCACAGGCCTTCCCTGGACCGGATGGCCTTGCCCAACACATGGTTTCCCAAGATGGAATCCCACCAGGGCCTCACACATGCTAAACGAGCATGATGCTCTGAGCTCCGAGCCTGCACTAACAGTTACACTGTATGTGTGGGATCTCTGTGAACCTGCTGTGTACCGATGTCACATGTGTTTGTTTCTCCAGCATTTCTGGTTTAAAAGTGGTGGGGGAGCCCCTTTCCCCGGCACTTCACCTGCAGCTGGAAGAGAGCACTGGGTCTCGGGAGAAGGATGTGAAGCTACTTCAGGAAATCATAATTCAAGTAAGTGGGCAGTTACGCAGTGAGCACTACCTCATTTTCAGGAATACCTCCCACCGTAGGGTATGCCAGGAGCAGCTGGCTACCACGCTCATGCTGGGGACTGTCTAATAGCCCTGACCCTCCCAGCCAGCCCTGCTGAGCTCACTGGGTTCCTGAAATGCTGGCTAAAGGTCTCTCCGCTTGGGCCACTCATGTGTCTGTGCTCAGCTTCTCTCCTGAATAGCCCTGCAGAACACTGTCCCACTCACCATTTGCATTTTTGAGATAAGATCTCACTCTGTCACCAGGCTGGCCTGAAACTCACTATGTAGCCCAGGCTGGACTTCTAACTCCTAAGTCGCCTGCCTCAGCTTCCTTAGTGCTGGGATTGCAGGTGTGAGCCACTACTCCCGACTAAATCTCCTTACTGATTTGACGTTTCACTTTTGTTTTTACTAATTTTGGCCAAGTTGCTGACTCCATGTGCTCACTGGGCAGTGGCTTGGCCCATCCTCCCAGCAGTAGCTGCCTCTCCTGAGGCCTTCCTGCCTTTCTTCAGACTCTTGCCCTCTCCTTGCAGAAACCCATTGTGCTACAGCACCGGGGATGGGCTACAGCACCGGGGGTGTGCTACAGCACTGGGGATGTGCTACAGCACCGGGGGGTGTGCTACAGCACCGGGGACGTGCTACAGCACTGGGGGTGTGCTACAGCACTGGGGATGGGCTACAGCACTGGGGGCGTGCTACAGCACTGAAGGTGTGCCACAGCACCGGGGATAGGCTACAGCACCGGGGGTGTGCTACAGCACCGGGGATGTGCTATAGCACCGGGGGTGTGCTACAGCACTGGGGGCGTGCTACAGCACTGAGGGTGTGCCACAGCACCGGGGATAGGCTACAGCACCGGGGGTGTGCTACAGCACCGGGGGTGTGCTACAGCACCGGGGATGTGCACACCTGGGCTCATGCAGCCTTCCCATGGAACCTGGCACAGGCCCTTTGTGCCCTTGAGGAGGAATAAAGGCCCCATTCCCCTCTGTCATTGCCCTGAGACAATATCACCAGGCTCCTTAAACTAAATAAAATGATACCCCGACCGACCCCCTCCATCCCTGTGGCATGCCTGGAGGGCACTGGCTGGCCACGTGATATTCAGTGTGCGGCTGGTACGTAAAGACCTCTTGTGGTTGCATAAGCTTCCTGGACCATCCTTTATCCTACCATGTTTTAATCGTGTGATCTGGAGTGAGAGTCTGTGGAGGCTGCACATGGCACCCAACCTCTTAGGATCGCTGTATTAAAATCAAACCAACCAGCCAGGCGGTCGTGGCGCACGCCTTTAATCCCAGCACTCGGGAGGCAGAGCCAGGTGGATCTCTGTGAGTTCAAGGACAGCCTGGGCTACCAAGTGAGTCCCAGGAAAGGCGCAAAGCTACACAGAGAAACCCTGTCTCGAAAAACAAAACAAAACAAAAACAAAAAAAAACAAAAAAAAAAAACCAACCAAAATCTAAGATTAATTAAGGACACTTGTCAGAGTATGATGATCAGGCTAGCAGTACTTGCCTGGCTGGAAAAGGACACATCACACATGTCCTCTCAGGCTCAACTCTGCAGGCCTGAGGAAAGACAGACTTCCTTAAAGGGACAGAGCATCCCTCCACCCTTTTACTGCCTCAGTGCTTTACCCTAGATGTATACAGACATAAAAATAAGTTTGGGGTTAGAGTTTTCAGACAAAGGTAAAAGCAGATGCACACGTTTAGAACCAACTAAAAAGACAGGGCAGTACCACTCAAGTGGATTCCATGTGTCTGCTGAGTCTGCTGTTCTCAGCAGGATTGCTCTCACTGGTAGGCCCAGGCAGTGGACACAGAGCAGAGGCTCCAGAAAAGCAGTGTGCCTGTGTTGCAGCCCTTAAAAGGAGCCTGTTGTTTCCTGTCTTCCCTGGACTGCTCTGTGCACTGCCCTGTGGTTGGAGTGATCTTCATGCTAGTACATCTGTTCTGTATTAGCCCCATTCTGTTCTTTTCCTTAGCACAGTGAAGCTGCTTTTCAGAGACATGGGGCTCATGTGCAAGCAATGGACATGAGCAGATTTCATGCACAGACGTTCTCAGAACAAAACCAGAAGATGGGGCAGGAGAAATGGCTCAGTGTGTTCGTTACTTTTCTGTTGCTGTGACAAACCACCACAGCCAAGACAGCTTATGTAAAAAGTGTTTAATTTGGGCTTACCATTTTAGAGGGTTAGAGTCCATGAGGATGGACTCTAAAAGGCATAGTGGCAGCAACATCTGAGAACTCACAGCTTGATCCACAAGTAGGAGGCAGAGAAGAACACACTGAATAAATAGCAGGAGGCTTTTGAAGCCTCAAAGCCTGCACCCAGTGACACACCTCCTCCAGGAAGACCACACCTCCTAATCCTTCCCAAACAGTTCTACTAACTGGGAGCCAGGTATTCAATATATGAGCCTATGGGGCTGTCCTCACTCAAACTACCACATTAAGTAAAGCACTTGCTGACTTCAGGTCATGTGGATCTGATTGCAATCGTTTTTTGTTTTTTAAGCAGTTATAGCAGCACATACTTTTGATCTCAACACTGGAGAAATTGGTCTTTGTGGTAAGCATCAGGCCAGTGAGAGACCCTGTCTCAAAAAGGTGCAGGGTGCCTGAGGAGCAAGAGCCAGGTTGTCCTTTGGCCTCCACATACACACATACATGTGTACACACACAGGAGCCAATTAATAAGAAAGATGCAAGACCATGAGCAGTCCACAGTTCCCAAGTCATATCTAGTCTGCAGGCTCTCTTACATCACTGGCTATCTAGGGAAATCACCTTGAGAAATCCAGCATGGACATAGCCTCACAGCTCCTTCACAACCTCCCCTCTAAAATCTTCCTGATCCCCTGCCCCACACACCTGTTCTAACCTGTATTTAGAGAAGGGGATCAGAGTACAATTACTCTAGTTACTCTTTGCACACCTGAGAACTTTCACCAAGTTTATGTTGAGTTGCTTCACAGGACATTGTTTTCACAAACAGCTGTGGTTTGTGATGTCTCTTAACCAGCCAGGCTAGACACAGAGCCAGGCCAGATTTTGGGAGGCCGGCACGCTTCCAAGTTTCCTCCCTGTTTCTGAAGTGAGCAGGTGGCTGTGCTGCCCATTCTTCCTTGAAGCTTGTGGCCACCTTCCTTTGGGCGGATGCTTTAACTGTGGGCATGTGAGGTGGTCGTCTCTTCCTTTGTGCACCATGCCTCGCCCTATGCATCATGTATGCACTTAGGTGTGCACAGGCACACACACAGCAAATACAGCCCGTACAACTCTTGGAACCTTGCAATTCAGCGGCCTTTGCTGTATTCACGGGGTTCTGCAGCTATTCCTGTCTAATTCCAAACTTGTCATCACCCAAAAGGAACTCTGTATAAACTCTTGCCTCATTCAAGGTTGTGGACTTTCTGTTTTACAGTGGAGGCTTTTCAGTTAGACACGTAATCAGTGAGTGCTTGATGCATAGGAAAGCTCAGGACAATCTTTGTCAGCACCAGTCTCTTTGGTGCCTGGGAGCACCTTGCCAAGATGGAACCATGGACGGTCTCACGGTGCCTGTACTCCTACGGCTGCTCTCTGATACAGTCCTGCCAACAACTGTCCACACAAGCGCTTTGCTCCTGGCCTCCCTGCGTCCTCAC